AAAAAAAAAAAAAAAAAAAAAAAAAAAAAAAGCAGTTAAGACAGGATTTACCAGCAGATGAGATAGGAAGAAAAGTACAAAAGAAGCAAAAGGCCGTAAGGCAGCTGCTGGGTGAAAATAACTTTTGTTTCTTAAATTTCTATCATTAAAGAGTAACAGTTCATGGTTTAAAAAAATGTTTTTTCCCACCTCATTCTGAAAGTTCAAGAAAATGAACTACACATAAAAATGATCAAGGTAAAAGTATTAAGGAGACTGATTTACAAAAAAGGGAGGACAATGTGAAGGGCTGTGTATATCCATATATATGGGTCCAAAAGGAGATGCAAGGAGAGGGCAGGAGGGAAAGAGAGGGGCTTCAAAAGAGAATCAAGAAATGCCACGCATGTGCTAACTCCCAGGATGCGTACAATGTACAGTAACACCCCACAGACGCTGAAAACAGGCCAGAAAGACCCCCCAAGATCTGTCATCTCAAAACAAGTGCAAAGGAAGCAGAAAATGATAGAGGATAGGAAAGAACAACATGAAGGTAAGAAAACTAAATGAAACTCTGCAAAGAGGTACAAAAATTGAAAGGAAAGAAACTAGAAAGATCCTATAGGCACAAGAAATAATACATTAAGATACAAGGTGAAAAGGAAGAAATCTCAAACCAAAGAGATAAAAAGCAGCTGAGGGAGGAAGAAACCAATATTAAGTCTAAAAGGCAGCCAACAATTACTACGTATCCTTGGAGAAGAGATCTACACAAGCACAATACTCTAGCAGCTCCAATGGAAGAAAATGTCCTGAAAGAAAAGCATTTAGAACCTGTCACACCACACTGTATAGGAACGAACAAGAGGCCACCAGAGCCATGTGGACAGCTGAGCTGAAGAGGATGCTACTGTCTGGAGGTGGGACAACTTTGGCTTCAATAAGGAGCATAATCAATTATTGCAATGGATTAAAACCCATCACAGATGCTTGAATCTGTGAACTTGTAAAGATAGAAAACAGAACAAGCTGGGAATGGTGGCACACACCTGTATCCCAGCACTCTGGAGGTGGAAGCAGAGGACAGCAAGTCTGAGCCCAGCCTGGACAACTGAATGACTTAACAAGACCTTGTCTCAAAATAAAATAGCTAGGCATGATGGCATATGCACTCACTTATAATCCCAGCACTCACGAGGCTGAAGCAGGATTGCCCTGACTTAGAGGCCAGCCTGGGCTACATAATGAATTCAAGGCCAGCCTGAACTACTAAGCAAGACCATGTCTCAAAAAGCAAACAAACAAAATTTTTTTTTTTAATTTTAAAAGGGCTGGGAATACAGCTTAGTATAAAGAAGGTTCTAGGTGTAATCCCTAGCACTGTAAAATAAATGCATTTACAAAGAAAATCAATGGGCTGGCCAGACAGCTCAGCAGAATAAAGTGCCTGCTTAGGCAAAGCACAGCGACCAGGGTTTGATCCCCATACTGGCCCTGCCCCCAGGGCATGCTGAGATGCTGAGACTGGGTGTAGTGGCATGCACCTGTAAATCCTAGTGCTTGGGAGGCTAAACACAGGAGAATCACTATGAATCCAATCTACGTAATGAGACCCTATAGACCCTGTACCAAACACACACACACAAAAAAAAAAAAAAAAAAAAAAAAAGAGAGAGAGAGAGAAAAGAAAAGAAAATCAAGCAGATAATTAACAGGTCATCTTGGCAGAAGAGTAACAGGGAAGTGACTTGTTCACGCTAAACTACCAGGGGTGGGCACCAAGCCTTTACTCTGATTTCCTCATGCAGACACTGCCTATGGGTAGCCAACTAAGGACAAAGGGGAACGTCAATTTCTGAAGTAGTACAGCTGGTGAGAAAGAAATGGTTCTCTCACAAGGCTTTTTTTGCTAGATGGATGCCAACTAGAGATCATACTCATAAGTGAATGAATCAGACCCACACATGCAAATGTCATGGTGTCTCTCTAGTGTAAGAACCTCAAAGAGTAAATAAAATCTGAAAGGTACAATACGTACTAGGAAAGGGAAAGAATCTACTGAGAAGAAAAGGAAGAACAGAAGAAAAGGACAAAAGAAAGAACAGAAGGGAAAAAGATATATTTATGTATACATATGGGATAGGTTGCCTAAGTGTATTGCTGATTTCTGCTTGTCTATTGAAAGAAGCTGTTAATACTTAAAGTTTTCTTTTCTTCTTTTTAATTTCTTATAACTTTTTAAAACCAATTTTGCATGTTTACATCTGGTAATCTAAACAACTAATTTGAAGACAACATTATGCCATATAACGACGATTACTGAATTCCTAAAACAAAAAAGGCTCACTCAGAACAGTGCTGTTTCACAACCCTAGTGCATCAGCATCTCAGTACAGAGCATCAGGTGGTGCTCACACCCCAAGAAAGGGGCACAGACATTTGGTGCTTCCTGAAGCTGCCAGCAACCAGCAAAGGCAGACCGCATGGGGCCTCAGGACCAGGCATCGGAGTGTGGGGCATGCGGAGCTGCGGCAGGAGCACATTAGGGCAGACTCAGCAGAGAAGTTTGGCTGATCGGAGAGGGGGACAGAGAGGTAGAGAGGGAGGGAGGAAGACAGGAGGAAGGGAGAAGGAGAGAAGGGAAAAGAGGGAGGGAAGAAGAGGAGAGGGAAAAAGAGAAGAGGAAGGGAAAGAGGAGGATAGGATGGGGAGAGAGAAGGAGAAGGGGGAAGGGAGAAGCAGAGAGGAAGGAGACAGGAGGAGGAAAAGGGAGCAGGGATATGGGGTGGGCACACTTGAATAATACAAGCTGTCCCAAAGTGCAAATCAATGACAGTCCACCACCTTCAATGAATTATTTGTCATGCATTATTATGGAAAAGGAATACTTCAAGAAAAGGGAGAAAAGACAGTATGAAAGAATTCTATTATGTATTTTCTATGAAGCAGAAATAATTACACAGCCCAACTCCAGCAGTGAAGTCTGCATGCCCTCCCAAGGTCTGGCTTAAGTACCTGGTATCTTCACCGTGCCACTGGTAGACGTGTCATCAGTGTACGGATGGCTACTCTCCACCACCACAGGCTGTGAGGAGAGACGGCCGCTCTGCGAGTCTGTGGCTACATCCTCCAGCTCAGTGACACAGAGTTCCAACAGCATATCTGCCACCTGGGGAGGAAGAAGAGAATGTCTGGCTACGCCTGTCATCTGGACACTAGCTTTTTCCTTCTGCCCTGGTTTCTTTCCCTGGCACAGGGTGGGTGAGTGGAAAGCTTAAAGAGTTTGAGAAATGTAATTCAAATTACAGCTTGACCTCCTTACCCAAACAATCAAGATAGTACAGAGCTGGCAAAGGTGCCATGAGGCTCAGACAATCTGTTGAAAGTAGCTGGAAGACACCTCACATGTGACACAGTTCAGGTCAACTGAAAACACCACCAATGACAAGCTTATTTTTACAGCAAAGTTTACCTTCTATGTGAGGAACAATATCAAGGAAGGAGGCAAAAGCTGATAAAAAATTACCAAGATCCTAGAAGGGATTGGCAGTCATATGGCAGTAGCAAGCATCAAGGAAAACTGAGAGGAGGCCCAAGCATAGCGCCCAGAGCGCCTCACAAGGAGCATCAACAAATGCCACATGGCTGGGATTTGTACGCTAAGTGTTGAGCTCCTTAATCCATCATGTCTGTATTTTATTTTAAAAACCCAGTGGTTAATACTAGTAAATTCCTTGTTATTTTAAAAAACAAACAAGACTGTGTAATAACAGCAATAATATGTAACCCCAAACTTTCAAAGTGGGGGAAAAAAAGCCTCTTCCCCTGTACTGCCCAATCTATACTTTTGAGGAACAGACTATGCTTTTGCTCCATTTTTCCTCATTTTCGTAGCAGTTTTTGTAGGCCAGTTAGTCACAACTAACATGCTCATCATGCAGGGACACAGACATGAAGGAAACTGAACTTTTAAACACTTTCTGAGTAATCGATTAAGAAATGATAAGCCCTGAAACATCCCCTCAACAGTGCTTAAGCATATCACTGTTTTGGTGCTGTGAGGAGAGAGCCAGACCAAAGCAGAAGTACCTGCAACGAGAAACTCTACCCCGGGGTCTCTAGCGCAGGGCGTGCCAACGAGGCTCCAGCAATCTGCGGCTGAAGGTAAGTCCTCAGGGAAGCCTCGAACTTCCAGCACCGATCGACAATACACTGACTGCTACAATTACTGACAGTGACACTGACTTTATCCTCGACTACATCAGCTCAACAGTCACCAGTCATATGAATCTACACACATTTAATTAAATGAAAACCTTAATTCCCCAGGTGTATGAGCCATATTTCAAGTGTGTCCGGTGTCCACAGTACATTTCCACAGTAACAAACCACTTATTAAACATTGTGCTACTGAATACAAAATTATAAGATGGCTAAATTTTTGTGATATTAGGTCAGAGTTTTTTGGGGTTTTTTTGGGCAGAACCGAGGATTGAACTTATTAGGCCCTTGTCATTGCCAGGGAAGCGCTTATTCCACTGAGCCATCTCCCCAGCTCCAAAAAATATTTGCTTTTTTTTTTCTTTCTGCTGTACCAGGGATTGAACTTAGGATCTTGTGCTTGCCAGCAAGTGCTTATTCTACTGAGCTAGCTCCCCAGCCCCAGAGTTATTTCAATGGAACAAAGAGTATCAAAATCCAAACATATACAGGTATTCCAAATAGTAAACAAATGAAATCATAAACACGCTTAGAAGAGAACTTGGGAGAATTTATTTAAAGCAACATAAGTAAGCATCTTTTCAACATAATATAAACCCAGAAATCATAAGTGGAAAAACATTAAAACCAAAAAAGTCTCTCTTCCTGTGAGCAGTCTGAGGTAACCTGTAAAAATGGTTCACTACTCTCTTGACCCAGAAAACCCCACAAAATCATGCAAATCAAGAGGTTCAAATCTTCACGTTCACTTTAAGAACACGCGTGAAACTGCCCAGGCCATCAAGGGTATGCATATTCGAAAGGCCACCAAGTATCTGAGGGACATCACATTAAAGAAGCAATGTGTGCCATTCCAGTGTTACAATGGTTGAGTTGGTAGGTGTGCCCAGGCCAGACAGTGGGGCTGGACACAGGGTCGGTGGCTCAAAAAGAGTGCTGTATTTTTGCTGCACATTCTTAAAAATGCACAAAGAAATGCTGAGCTTAAGGGATTAGATGTAGATTTTCTGGTTATCAAACATATCCAGGTGAACAAAGCACCCAAGATGCGCCGCCGCCACACATACAGAGCTCATGGCCAGATTAATCCACCCATGAGCTCCCACATCATATTGAGATGATCCTTACTGAAAAGGAACGAAGTGTTCTAAACCAGGGGAGGAAACTGCACAGGAAAAAAATAAAAAGATATCCCAGAAGTTGATGAAACAAAAACTTATGGCACGGGAATAAATTAAGCATAAAATAAATGCAAATAAAATTTTTTACAAATCTTACAGATGAGTACATAAAGCTGAAATTCCTGCATGTCAAAAAAAGTATCAAAATAGTTTCAAAGGGCAAACTTGAAAACTGTGAGGCATGTGATAGAAAAGGGACTTAAGAACTCTAGCAATCCATTAAGAACAAGACTCCCAAATCTTCTAAAATGGGTAAAAGATGTATTAAATATTTTCTCTTCTTGTTTGCAGTGCTACAACTCCAACCCATGGTCTCATGCACACTAAGCAAGTGCTTAACCACCAAGCTACACTTCCACTCCAGATCAGCTTTAAAGGAATGCTTTTCAACGACAACTCCAGCATAAAATTATAGGTGAAAAACAGTGGTGTGTCCCTCGCAGAGGAGACTGTCCCAACACAGAGCAAGGACATGAAGGAGGGGCCCGGGCCCAGGGTTCCCACCACTCACCTGTGGGTAGGCAGTGCCCATGCCAGAGAGCACAGCTGAAAGCACCTCCCTGCCCCTGTCCCCAGCCCGGCTGCACACGGACAACTTGAGCAGATCCACCACCACACGGGTGTCATCCACGATCAGCAGACTGGTGAACTCATCCAAGGACTGTGGTTCCGGGCCTGATGCTTTATTTTGGCTTTCAACGTCCTACATTGATGATACCCAACAATTAAAATGAGGATGACAGTCAGTCACAGCTTAACCATGAACTCTGAGGACACACAGCCACCAGTGACAAAGGGATATGAAAAGCCAGGTCGATTAAGAAATGCCCAGCCTTTAACCCCCACCAGCCAGGGCAGGGGTACTTCAGCTGTCACGCTGCTCCGAACCCTAATTTCCCACTTCAGGAACTGTGAAGTTCAAAAAACATTCCACTCTGTGTTTGTAACTTTGCTTATTGCCAAACCAAAAGTCAGACTTGAAAAAAATCTACACTGCCTGAGAGTGAGTCACAAGTCACATCTGGCCACAGACACAAAGGAGTGACACTCCAGTTTAAGCACCATTCTTGACCAGACGACAAAGGGTGTTTGTGCTAGTGTGTTAAAGCACACACCATTGTGGTTCTTTTGGGCACTTTGTTTGCACAAGATATTGCAACCATGGCTCGCTCCAAAGTGTTAGTGACTCCAGCACTAAAGCTAAGAGGAGCACTTCAGTAAAACTAAGACCCACGATAAGAATTAAAGAAAAAAATGACTGTGAAATTTGTGGAAGTCCTGGAAAATGAATTTATAATTTGTAATTTGGGGCCCTTGGTGTCAATTATTAGTTTCTTGTTATTTCTTATGGGACAAAGTTCTCATTCAGTATTCAAACTTTTCAGTGTTCAAACACAAATTAGAAACGAACTGAGTTGAACAACAGAGGTATCACAGTACTATGTTCTCTAAGTCAATAAACTTTCACAAGTCACCAACAGCATCTGTCAAAGACAAATGCTTTTAAACTATAAAGAAATAACAGTTTACTACCGTGACCAAATATATCATAAACACTGTAGGAAATGCAACCCTTGTCCATTAGATATGCTTGAGAATTTTCTACCAACTAAATTTCATGGTGTAACTTTACATAATTGTTCACATTTACTCCACAATTCTTTCTAGAATATTACTTAAAGTGACTCAATTGCATATAACATATTACCCTTAATCTCTTGCTCCTTGGGTTCTTTAAAAAAGCTAATGTATTTTTTTTAAATAGGAATTAACAATTACATAGTTTTACACAGTTTAGAAATCTAACCCTATACAGCATTGTAGGACAGTTCTGTGACTTTTTTTTTCTTGTCTCTTGTTTTCATTTATTACCCCCCCCCACCTTATTTTAAACAAGCATTTACTGGAGAGACAGTATGGCACTAACTGGTATGCTATGACAAGCAGTGCGTATTTAGAAGACCAGAATGACAGGCATTCCGAGCATGACCCTAATATTACACATTGCTATCTTCAGTGCAGTTGCTTAGTTCACAGGTATCAGCACATATAGTTAGTCAGGGTGAGAATCCTACCAAGTAACTTCTAGTTTCGAAAACCTGCTGAAGATTCTCAGGATCGTTGCCTTACCTATCCTGTACATACAAATGTATGGCTTTGCGCCTGTCATGTTTCCCAGCTTTCCTCCTTGCCCTCTCCTCGTTGTCCAATCCTCAAGTTCTTGCTTTCCTTTTAATTGTGTTATATCTTTGTATTTGTATTTCTTCTTTTGAGTTCTTAAACTAGTGAGACTATACAATATTTACACATGTGTGTCTGGTTTATTTCACTTATGAGTATATCTTCAAGTGGCATCCACTTAAATACGAAGGCTTCAAGTTTATCATTCTTTATAGCTGAGTCATACTCCATTGTATAAAAACACCACATCTTTTTCATCCATTCCTCAGGTGATGGGCATCCTGCTTGTTTCCAAGATATGGCTATCACAAATTGTGCTGCTATAAATACAGGTACACATATATCATTATGACATAACATTTCTAGTTCCTCCGGAAAATTCCCAGTAGGGGGATGACTGGTTTGAATGGGATTTGTAGTCCTAGTTTTTAAAGGAGTCTCCACACCGATTTCCATAACAGTTGCACCAGTCTACATTCCCACCAGCAGTGGAGAAGGGTTCCCCTTTCCCCACAGCCTCTCCAACATTTCTTGTTGGTAGATTTCTTTATGATAGCCATTCTTTCTAGGGTGAGATGGTATCTCAGTGTTGTTTTAATTTGCATTTCACAGATGGCTAGTGATGTGGAACATTTTTCCATATATTTATTCACTTTTTTAATTTCATCCTCTTAGAAGTGTGTGTTCATCTGGGATGCCCATTTCTGGATTAGGTCTTTAAATTTAGGGGCCTTAATGTTTTTTAGTTCTTTATAAACTCTAGAGAGCAGACATTTATCTGATCATGTAACTCAGTTGAGTCCCAAATTTTCTGATCAAGGAGATTATGGGGGCCACAGAGGAAAGTGATCAATCATGTAGAGTGTGCCCAAGGAGAGTAACATGGAGAAAAGCATTCTCTCAGGCTTTCACAAACAGCAAATTGGTCAAGCAATGACAGTGATACATCCACAAGGCTGACACTGACAAAGGATCTACAAACTGTGGTACAGGGTTTCAGAATAAGTCCTCAGGGGATTTGACTGACCTTATCAGATCCAAAAGCTACCTTTCTTGTTATATAGGTCTTGCTTTATTTTGGTCTTAACCATCCCGCAATAAAGTATAAAAACAAAATATAAAACATAAAGTCCTATTAATATGCTGAGCTGTAAAAGGCTCAAGTCAACAGCTTCTGACATTGCCAGTCCTATGGAAAACCCACTACTACTATGGACTACTGGACTATATTGGAATATTTTGCTGAATTCACGTACCTATAATATTTAAATGACACTAGAATACCTTTCTCTGACAAAACTAAACAAAAAAAGGGATACAAATGAACAATAATTTTGTATCTGTATATTCAAAATAGTTATGACAGATATACAGCTACATTCTCTTTTTTTTTTACACTGTCTTAATTCAAAGAACAGAAAGATTTGTTTGAATAGTGTTCATAGACAGGATATCATGTCTGCATCTTGTACAATGAACAACCATTAAGACTACAATATGCAACGTAGTAAGTATTGAAACTGTCCTACTGATCAGTTTTGAAATTGTCTCATTGCTCTTTGTTTCTCAATAAAATTATTTTTTTTAAAGCTAATATACAAAATCAGTCTTTTTACTTCTCATTCTCCCCATCAGCTACAATACACCACATTCTGATAATTTACCTTTATCCTTTCTAGTAGAGGAAAGGAACCCACTTAGCTGCTGAGTGCCAGCCCCAGGTCCTACACTAAGCAGCACCTCACAGGAGTGGCCATCCCACCTGCTTTGTCCAGCATACAACTGCCTCCTGAAGATCAACCTTAAGGCTGGAGCCATGAGTAGCAAAAGGCAACCCAGGTACAAGAGTCAGATCGCCCACAGCCTGGCCTTTTGGTGTGCAGAACGGGGGTGGCTGCCAGCCTTTCACAGTGTCAGGTGCAGTCAGGCTCACAAGAGAAAGAACAAGAGCCTGAAGTACCTCTTCTGCCTTCCAGATCTCAGCAAATTCAGTGTAACTTTTTCCAGAAACAGAACCAAATGGGAAGCTCTTCCCCATACAGGAACTCTCTAATGATTGTGAGCCATCTGCTACACCCTCAGAACCACATCTCTGAGCTGGGACAGGTTCTCCCTTCAGAGAGCAGACCTTTGACTGGAGAACTAGAGTGACAGTAAGTGAAATCCATCAGAAACAACAACATTCTAGAATGACTCACTGAAGAACAGCAAAAGCATCCAGTAAAATGTTAATTACATATAGTACATTCAGTGTTGACATTAAAAAGTTACTTTATCTTTTTTCTAGAGATGTTAAAACCAAATAGGAAACAGCTTAGATGGGACCTCATTAAAAAAAAAAAAAAAAAGCAAAGTACAAGCAGCAACCCCTTTGAATGCAAATTACAGACCAATACTAACATGAAAATTACTCTGCCATAATTTATAAATCAAGCCATAATAAAAATAATAGGAACTGAGGGTATAACTGAGATACCGATAGCTTAAACAAATGTGTAGGAAAGAAATCTTATAATCCTCCTTCTACTGAAAAGCAAAAATTCTAATTCTTCAGAATTTCTGGGGCCAGCCAAATAGGTTAGCGGATTAAAGTGCCTGCAAGCAGGCGCAAGGGCCAGGGTTCTATCCCCAGACCTGCTGTGACAGCCTGCACCCCCAGTGTGCGCTGAGATGGCAATGGAGACAGCATGGTGGCATGCACCTGTAATCCCAGCTCTTGGGAGGCTGCAAACAGGCAGATCACTAAGAGTCTGATCTAACATTGAGACCCTGAACACCCTGTAGACCTTTCCCTAAGAAAATACCACAAAAAAAAAAAAAAAGTCCCAGAATAATTTCTGCATTAAATTATCATTCCAGGAGATTTCCAGAAGTCAAAAATTAATTTCAGAGACCTAATTTATAGTGGTTTTGTTATCATTACCAACGATTATGAGTAATTTCCACAGGACGTATTTTCTGCCATCAGTACCAGCGTAATAAATAGGTGCAAAACACAGGAAAAATATAATGCATATTTTTTTTCACTGGGGAACAGACCAGTGAGGGAAAAAGTAAGAGGGAACGAGGTAGCCTGGGCAGAGCTGTGAAGGAAGTACACAGGAGGTGATGAGGCGCTCCTGGCCTAGGGCAGAGGCAGGGTGGCGCCATGGGTCAACTAAGGTGAAGAGGAAGAGCCCAGGAAGGGCAGGGTGCCTGTGGGGCAGTTAGCAGGCAAGATGGCAGGCTGGAACTGAATCGTAAGTTAAATAATTTGTATCTGACAGGAGCCTGATTTTCTAATTTCAGAGAAAAGAGCTACAAATACAGAAAGGTTGAAAACTACAGTGAATACTAGTTGGCTTAGAATCAACTGTACTGATGCAAAGTGATGGTGGACACACACACACACCCTAGTCCTGTCACCCAACAGCAAAGAATACACAAAGACCCTAAATCTCAGCTTCTAAATACCACTTGCCAATTAAAAAAAAAAAAAAAAAGGCCAGAAGTTTTTTGGGAGGAGAGCATCTGATTACTAAAGTGGAGGACAAAACACCTAGCTGATCCTGGAATTTTACTCTAGAAACGAAGGAAAGAGAGATAGATAAAATTCTACCAGGTATTTAAATAAGAATTGAGGGAAAAGCAGGTAAAAATCTTGAACACATAGGGGTAAGCAGAGAGTTCATGAACAAAAACCAAACTGCATGGCAAATACTTCAAACTGCATGGCAAATACTTCAAAGAACAACTGGGGTCTCATCTTTTTTAAAAGTTTCTGCACGTCAAAAGAAATCACCAACAGAATAAAAAAAAAAAAAAAAAAACCTACAAACTGGGAAAAAATTTTAGCAGACTATCCCTCAAACAAAGGACTTCTATCTAGAATGTATAAAATTTTTTTAAAAATCAGGCCCCCAAAATTCAAAGACCCGATCAAAACGATGAATATACACTTCCCAGATGAAGAAATACAAATGGCAAATAAACATATGAAAAAATGTTCAACATCACTGGAATTTCAAGAAATACAAATTAAACAATATTGAGGGCTAGGGAGAGAGCTCAGTAAGATAAGCACTTGCCTGGGAAGTGCAAGGTCCTGAGTTCAATCCCCAGTACTACAGAAAACAAACAAACAAGTAAAACAACACTGAGATTCCATCTCTCCTCAGAAAAAACGGCTATCATCAAGAAGTCAACCAGGGCCAGGGGTATAGGCCTCAGAGGAACAAATGCTTCTCTGGCAAGCTCAACGTCCTGAATTCAATTAATGGTATGTGCGCGTGCGCACACGCACACACACACACACACACACACACACACACAAATTCAACCAACAACAAAAGGCAGAGGGGCTGGGGGGAAAAGGAACTCTTCTTCACTGTTGGTAAAGAAGAGCCACTATGGAAATCACTGTGGAGCTTCTTCAAGAAATTAGGATCAGAAGTCTCATTCAGCCCAGCTATTCCACTCCTGGGTATTTTTGCAGAACAACTGAAAACATCATACCACAGCCATATATGTACACCCATGTTTATGGCAGCGCAATTTGTCATAGCTAAATCTTGGAAACAACCCAAATGTCCATCAACTGAAGAGTGGAAAAGAAAGTATTTTTACATACAGGAGTATTACTCAGCTATAAAGAAAGAAAAGCCCAAGGCTTTCATAGGTAAACGGATACAACTAGAAACCATACTCATAAGTGAAATGAATCAGACCCAGAAGTGCAAACATCATAGTGTCTCGATAGTGTAAGAACCTGAAAGAGTAAATAAAATCTGAAAGGTACACTACATACCAGGGAAGGGAAAGAAGAACTGGATGAGTAAAAGGACAAAGGAAAGAAGTAAGAAAGGGGAAAAGATATATTAATGTAAGGAAGGGAAAAGACATATTAATGTATATGTACAGGATAGCTTGGACAACTGTATTGCTGACTTCAACTGATGTATTGAAGCAAGCATGAATGCTTAAATATTTTCCTTCCTTTTAAAATTTCTTGGGGCCGGGGAGATGGCTCAGTAGGATAAGCGCTTGACTGGCAAACGCAAGGATCTGAGTTCAATCCCCGGTTCCGCAAAAAAAATAAA